AGGCAACATTAGATTCAAGCCTAGCAAGAGAGACACCAGAGAAAGAATTATCCCCTCTCGAATCTTCACCAGCTAAACCACCAGATACCATGTCACTCAAAGGAATTCTAAGTCAAAGCAGTTTAGTAGAACTTGCAGAAACATCGTCTGAGGTCACATCTAAAGCAGTTATCGAGGAGGCCACCACAGATAACATGGCTGTGTCTGAATCAGATGTGTCACAGCAGCATAGTTCAGAGGTTATCAGACAAGCTCAATCCACAAAATCTCTCAAAGTCAACACTGGATTTAGTGAGGCCTCTTCTGTAGCTAACATATCACAGGAGAAAATCAAGTATCCAAGGTCAATCTACATTGACATTAACTGCTCAGATGTACCTCATGTTGATACGGAAATGGAACCACGTGAGCCAAAACCTTATGTAAGGCTGCCCTACATTTTTGTTTCAACAGCAAGTTCACCAGAAGAAGAGACAAATGAACATGAGCTCAAACAGTGGAGCAAGTCGGAACTGCCAGAAGTCAGTGCTTCTGAAGATACCACTCCCACTGCAGTAAAACCACCAGAATGTAAGGAACCTTTACCTGCAGACATTATTGCACTGTCTGATATACTGGAAGACGCTAGGACTACAGAAATAAGTAGCTCAGAGGCATTTATTGAATCAGAGCAAGCCAAGACCTTGTTGCTTACATTGAATACAGTTGATTGTACACATGTTGATCTACATGACTCACCTATAGTGCTAGAACTATCAGAAGGTGCTGAAACTCTTGAAGCCCAAAAGGATCAAAGCACATCTTCAGATGCTGTATTGACTGAAGGTATTCACTCTCTTGAGAAGTTTTCATTAAAGGCCTCAGATGTATATTCACTTGAAGGTGTCCAACATTTTCAGGAGAAAACTGAAAGGGACATCACCATATCTGCCCCTGAGCCTAGTTCTCTCAAACCTCAGTCTGAGGCTGAACAGACTAATGAGCAAAGAGGAAAAGACTTATTTTCTATGTTTAGTGGCTCCACTGCAACCCCACAGCAGACATCCTCCCAAACTGAATTATCAATACTTGGTGGTATTCTTCCTGGCTCATCTACCAAAGAAACCCCTGGCACAGGGTTACTTTCAATGTTTGGTGGGTCAAATTCCCAATCTTCACTTGGATCCAAAGACCCACCACTGTCAACCCCACAGGAGCCCCATGGAAAAGGCTTATTCTCTATGTTTAGTGGAAGCAGTAGTAAGCCAAGATCTGGCCCAAGAGGTGCCGTTGTTGGAAGTGTGCAAACAAGAGGTCTTTCACTTTCAGAACCAATGGGTGAAGGCCTTTTTTCCATGTTTGGTGCATCTGCACCTCAGCAACTACCCAGCCCCCGAGGTCATCCTGGGGGAAGCGACACATTAAGTGGATCACCCACTGGATCTTCTTTATTTGGTGGCATCCTCCCACTTTCCACTGCACACAAAGAAAACTCTGGTACAGGTTTGTTTTCCAGGTTTGGAGGTCTTAGTGTCCAGTTTCAAACTGAACCTAGATTACCCACACCAGAACCTACAGTTACACCATCAGGACCCCGAGGTTCAGATTCCTTAGGTAAAGGGCTGTTCTCTATGTTTGGTGGACAGAACCAGCAAGCATCAGAAGCGTATTCTGTGGTTTCTAAACCACCTGTAGCAGAGGATGTTTCTAAAGTTTCTTCTGTGTTTCCACTTGGTAGGTACTCTAGTGGTAACAAATCCAAAACAGGGTTTGGCCTATTTGGAATGTCTTTCTTGGAGGAAACCAAAAAAGAGCCACAAATAATTGTTCCTGTGATGGAGGAGATTGCCTTGGAACAAGTGAAATCTTCACACACAAATGATTTTTCAGAACAAGCAACAGGTCTTGTTGAGGTTATGGAAAATATACCCCCAGAGCCTCTTTCTGCATCACCAGTTAATGCAGAACTCCAAGTAGAGCAGGTATGCCAGGATGTTCAGGATTCAACCTGTGACATCATAAAACATACCACTGAAAATTCTGTTCCCCTAACATATCCACATCTGGTAGATGCGGTTTCAGGATCAGAAAAATCTATTGAAGGCAACTTGAGAACCACATCTGATGTCACTGTAAATGAACCAGCTGAAGCAAATATAGAATTTGGAGAAGCTTGTATAGAACCTTCATCTGGATTAGAGAAACCATTTGGAAGTACTTATTCCTTTGTAGTGGTTTCATCAAATGATGAGGAAAAAACCTTTGGTACAAACTCTCGAGAAATGATGACCTCTCAAGCTGTGGGGCCTCTGAAAGGTCCATCATTGGGACTTGTGAGTCCTGCACCACAGCAACAGTCCAGGCCAAACATAGCCAGACCACCTGTCCCTCCAGGACACAGAATGGGAGCACCAGGGATGGGGTGCCCAGGAATGGCAGGACTAAGAATGGCTGGACCAAAACAGCCAAGACCACAGAAGCCCCCTGAACAAACTTCATTTTCTGGATTTATGTCTATGTTTTCTACCCCAAATGCCAAAAGCAAATCACCAACCATTGCTGGATTTTTTTCAGGTTCACCTGGTTCACTTTTTGGATCACCACTTGCTCCTTGTCGTTCACAAAAACAACAACATAAAAGCTCATTTTCTGGCTTTTCAAGTAGCATTGCTACAGAGTCCGTTACCAATGACCTCTTTGATATTTTCAAAGGTCCTGAAACAAAAAAATCTGAGGAACCTGAACAGTCTGGCACAGAATTTGGACAAGGGGATCCTTCTACAAAAATAGAGGTTTTTGAGAGTACTGTAATGATGGATACGGAGAGGACGCCTTTATCTAGAGATGAACATGTAAAAAGCACTGAGCACTTTGGGGTCCCAGATAAGGACTTAGTGGAGGAGGCAGAACAAACAGACAAAAGAGAGACAGATAAAAGATCTCTGACCAAATCCCCCATTAAAACTACTTCCCCCAATAAAGAAGCAGGAGACAATGATCATGCTGAGCATTTAGAGGGTTTTGCAGTATCTGAAAAAGCTGTACCACCCTCAGGTCATGAAGCCAAAGGCATGTTTGAAATACCTGGTCTGACTGCTGCAAAATTTGGCTTTATGTCTGTAGCTGCTAAAGGCACATCATCTATTGGATCACTTTTCTCCAGCACTCCATCTCCAGCCACTGGGGTGAAAACACCACAGTCACAACAGAAAGATGATAGTCTCTTATCTGGTTTTAAAAGCCTTTCAGCTGGTATTTTCCAGGATAAAAAGCCAGCTGGCACAGAAGAACCATCGTCTGCATCATCTGTGTTTGGCTTGAAACTTGGCTCAATGCTTGGGAACTGTGACCCCCTGAAGCCTGAGCACACCCCACCAGTGGTCACAGCCCAGTCTCACTCTCAGTGTCCTACAGATGAATCTGGTGAGCCAGAGTCTCAGAAACTTTCCTCAAGTTCTGGAGAAACTGAAAGTCCAGATGCCAGTGACACAGAAGAATCAATAGAAACTTCAGAAACAGGAAGCTGTGACACTTTAGCACAGTCACTGCACTCTGGCCTCCCCTCTAACTCAGTCTCCCTAGCAGACGATTTGGATAAACCCCAGTTAACGTTTTTCCCGTACGAGGCAGATGAGAGAGATGTTGACACACCTGACACAGTGCATGCAGATTTGGGCACAAAGCAACTACAAGACCTGTTGACAAAGGAAGCAGCAAAAAGGCTAGTGCATTTTTATGATACATGGAAGTGTTCGTTTATCATGTTGATGTTGTTTTGGCCCTTTCCTGCTCTTCTTTTCCCAGTTAGTATCTTTCTGTTAGAACACCTGATGTCAGTAACCCTGTCTTTTCCTTTTCTCATCTCTCTACTTAATGCTTCTAAAATATATTTAGATAAAGACATTTTTTGATTTAAATCAATGAAGTGATGTTTAAAATATACTACATACCCACATACTGTATAAATCACTTTAGTGAAAATCTGACAGTTTAAGAATTAAAAAGTCTAAGGAGCTTGGGAGACGCTCATGTGTAACTACACCGGCGCTACTTAGTACTGACGGCATCTCAGGAATAGCTTTCCTGACAGTGATGGAAGTGCATGAAGTGGATGAAGAAGCAAGCGGTCTTTATTTATTGGCTTTTCACTTGTAGAGCATGTATAAAGCCCCCCCATTGTCTCCTGCAGCTCTCTGAATTATACTCCAAGTCTCACCCAATTTGTTTATATGAATCAAACTGACAAATTTATGATGGTGTGGCAGCGCGCACCATAGAAGCAGGCTGGACCCTGGAATAAAAGGAACAGTGAGAACTAATTTGGCCTACACCCAAGACCGTGTAAATCATGTCAGCACAGAGCCACTTTCCTTGTTAGCAGTCTCAAGGCATCCATCACCCGCAAGGTGCTTCCCTGCAGCCACTTAGGATTTTTGTCAGCCAGGTTAAGTGTATACCCATAGCTCGACTAGAGTTTTTAATCTTGTTAAATGGTTGAAGAATTATAAATAATGTGAATTTATTATTGTACGGTACCTACATTAATAGATTTTGTAAATGTACTGGAGGCGAAATTGACAAATTTAAAAAGTTATGTCTTTAAATTGCATTTAGTCTCAGGCTTTTTGACAGAACTTTCAAAGCTATGAAAAATTACAAAGGTGGTGTCATTACCAACATGCCGACTTTGCCTTGATGCTGCAGGTCTCCGAGTACATTTAGCTTCATTTATTCAGTTTCCAACCCTGAATCCTCTTTTTCTTTTTTTCTTTGGATCTGATAATGATTAGTTTCCTTTCCCCTTAGTTTTACCCTTATTTTAATAATGGAATTGTGTTGGTTTTATTGTTGAATTGGATTTCCGCCATTCAAAGATGAATAGCACAAAATGCATGAATTTCAAATGGATATTTCCTAAATATTGAATTTTGGAACAAAACCTTTGATTCTATAGGAGTTTTTTTATTGCATGTGTTTTTCTCAAATCACCACTTCTAAATAACAGTCTCATTCTCCTGCAGTCCACCAGACAGTAGTCGGTTTGATTCATCAGGCAACCTCAGTCCCTCCAGCTCCCAGCTTAGTTTCGAGCCAGAGGAACGCCATGATCCAGAGTCGTGCCTCCCCAGTGGCCCTCATCCCCCTCTCCATAGCCAGGTATCTACATGGGACGAGGAGGAAGAAGAGGAGGAAGAGGTAGAGAAAAAGCTGCATCCACTACCAGAGCCTGGCTGCAACAAAGATTTGAAGGACTCTTTGGTCATCCGGCCCAAACTAGTTTTTGGCAACCATGATAACAAGACTCAGACTAAAATATGGTATGTATAAATGTAGATATGTTTAAGTCAAAAATGTAATTTTATCAATGGAGCTCTGTCAGGGTGCTTTTGCACTCCAGTTAACAGAATCTTAAGTGTGAGGTGGTGTGAAGACAGTGAGATTGTTGGTGTACTAGACATAAGGGCACCTTACAGCGATGCTCTGTGGTGTTGGGTAAAAAGAGGCGACTGGGGGACTCTGATGTGATTAACTCAGACAGCTGAAGCCTCATATCAGAAAAGCACTGGAATACATTATTGCACAGAATGAGAGCATGTTCTGAAGGGATTGTGTTGTTTTAAGATGCACTTGAAAAAATGTGACTGCAAGATGCATGGGACTGATTTAATTTCAGTATTGATTTCTGTCGGCCATCTTTATGAAAGGTTTCCCTTTGAACGTATTGATCTCTACTTTATGTTTTCAGTTTCTTTGAAGATGGCCCTCCACCCTGCTCTCCGTCTAGAGTTCGCTGGTTGAAAGCATACAACAAAGTGAGAGTACAGCTCCTCGAGGTAGGACGTCTCACTCTGTCCGCCCACCACTACTACTCTGTTTCTGTCTTACACAGCTTCACTCACATATAAACCTGATGTTTACCTATATAGTCTATAATGATTACCACACGTGGAGGTCCAGTCTGTAAGTGTGCAAGGAAATCTATTAAATATATCAGTAAAGTCCCATACATGAAGCACATAGATATATGCAAGCACACAAACACTGCTGTTCTCCCTCACACCTCTTATGCAGTGATACTTTCTCTACCTCTTGTACCCTGTGGGTTGGTTGAGTTTCATGCCACAGCAATTTTCACCAATTTTGTGCTTCTTAAGGATTTCTGCTTTGATCTGGAAAACCCCTTTTCACCGTTGGGGTTCTTCAGAAGGTTTTTAGTTCCAAGATATGGCACAGTGAGTTAAAGTGGCTCCTCAGATTATGGTATCAGCCACCTTGGGGTGTTTTACAGTTGACTGTTGGTGGGTGTAAGTACGGCAAAAGTTACTGTTACATGTGACCTATCTGTTGGTTTTTCTTTTGTCTCTCTCTCTTTTGTTTTTTTTTAACCCCAGTCTCATTTTGAATAACCACTCTGTGAATTAATTGTCTAAACCTTTAGTGCATGTCTTCATAAAACAATTTTAGATGCCAAAAAGTTTCTTGAAGTAAACAAAGGAAACTGTATAGATGAAAATATAAAATTATCCACCAAGATAACAACAAAAGCATGTTGAAAGAAGTGCAGTGAAAAAAGTGGCCAGGTAGTAAACAAGGGAAATAATCTGATGTGTCTGTGTTTGTGTGTCAAGTCTTTGAATGTAATGCATGTACTCTTGACATCTGACAAAATGGAGGATTAATAAGTGTGATGTGTCTGTGGGGAGAATCAGAGAGGGTGCATGATTCTGAAGTGCTTTGCTCTGTAGGGTAGTAGGATTAAACTGAGATTTGTAACACTGGCCTGTAACTGTAATGTCACAAGTCTGATCCTTGTTATAGTCCCCGAACTACACACTGATCCATAACCTGCTCATTTATCATATCTTGCATTGAATAAGCTGAGCATTTGGCTGTGACCAAGGACATAACCAGGAGATAAACCTTGTTTTTCATCACTTGTGAGGAGACTAAATTGAATTACTCTCAGTGGCAACCTAACTTTGAACCTAAAATCAAGACGTATTTGTAAAATAAATGGTTTGTGGTGACCAGATGTGAAATAAATCCCTGCACTGTGATTACTACAAGCTTGTATGTGGTCGCACATGTCACAATCAGCCAGGTGTGGATTGCATCCCTTTTTCCAACACAGAGTTATCCCTGCTGTCCCTTCTGTTGGCTTCTCATGGATGCAGCTGATCCTATCTATTCATCTCTAATTACTGTGAGTACAAACCTGTTTCTCCTTGTTTTCCATGGACTCCCAGAGCATGTTTTTCACACTTAAAAATCCAATCTCATGTCCATTTCTATTTAAAATTTGACTTTGTTGAGATGGGCTTTTAAACATCTCATTAGTTTTTCAGAGAGTAGAGAGAAATAAAAGAAGCACCTAGGAATTAAATCTCAGGAGTGGCTGGCAGTAGTGAGATTGCTGATGTGGAAGCATGGATGACAAATGCCACAAGTTAAATTCAGCTGTGCCACCACTGAATAGGAACAAGAGGATTCAAGGCCCCATGTTGACAAGCCTTCTCCTGAAGTAGCTCAGAGCAAGACACTGATTCCCTGTTGTTCAGTAGCTGACCCTATAATCTGCCCTACAGTACCTGGCAGGGTGCTGAGAGAAAAGAGAATTTCCCTTCAGGGACCAACAAAGTGTTAAATTATTTATGACTCAGCTCTCAAGCAATACTGCTTGCTTAAACAATAAACCTGATGGGCTGTCTGCTATGAATCCCATCCCTCTCTCTAAACAATCCTTCACAAGAGGCAGATTTCTGGGCACCTGAGACAAGGCTTCTCTGTTCTGAGACAGAGTTGGATGTTTTCAAGGTAATGAGTCAGAAACAGAGAAATGACAGTGTGAAGAATAATGAAGGAGCTTCGTAAGGTACCTGTATGAGTTAGAAGTAACACTAGCCAAATTATTGTAGTACCAGTAGGAACACAAAAGGGTTCAAATTTAACTACTGTGTCATACCTACAGGGAGCTATTTAGTAATAATAGGCTCTAATAAGTCAAACAGCCCTGGCACATGGCAGAAAAGCAGCACAGCAAAGCAGTGTGTTTGGTTTGGGGCTTTAAAGCATTCTCACATAGGACTGTAAACAATTGGAGAAGGAAATGTAAAGTAATATACTGTATATATAGCATCTAAAATGGATTTATTATTGCTGACTGGCCACAGTGACTGTGAAATAATATCTAGGAGAAACAGAAACACACTGACTAGCCAGAGAGAAAGAGAGCAGTGGCATTCCTCAATACAAAATATGGCAAGTTTGGACTCAAATACTTGGGAGTTTAGACTTGGTAAGTTTGAACTTTGAGTGCAAAACTCCTGAGGATGGGAAGGTGCAATTGGAACACCAGTGTCCTTGCTGACAGACTACTCTCAATGAGATGATGATCAACGCTGATCGTCTGGTCTCAGCGGTAGCTGCCTACTTAGAGTGAAGTTGATGTGCTAGTGGGAACTCACATCTCTGAAAATGTTGGAGCAAATTGTCATAACTTGGATAGACTAACCACATATTCTTTAATGGCTACTTTCTCACCTGAAAACATAAAGTGTCATAAAACATAACACCAATCCTAGAATGAAAATGATAACAACTATGAGCCTGGCTCAAAATATCTGCTATCACTGCTAGTTGGCACGCAGTGCATTCTGGGATACCTGACTGCCCTAAGTCCACACAGATCAGCCCCCTAACCAGCCCTGATAAAGTGAGTGGTGCAAGAACATGAGCTGCGCTTAGCTGGATGCAGACTTTGGCTGTGACTGATGACATTTCACAACCCTGCTAGAACAGAAGTGCAGAGAAGAACCTAGACTGAGAAAGGCCCCGGACCAGCAGAAGAAATCGGCACCTGGTTCTCCAAGAGCACATGTGCTGTGTACACGCGTTTACTGCAGCAGGTTTGAAGTACCAACAGAGTTAACAGCAAGACATCGCTTTATCTTTATACCAGCAGTCAGTGAGGATTATTTAGGGCATAAAGTAGTAACAGTATGTGGTGTGTCAGAGTAAAAACAGTTAACTGGCTAAAAGCATCTTAAGGCCAAGATGATCTTAGGTCATATAAATCATCTTAGCCTTAAAATGCTTTAGAGTAGCCAGGCCCATGTTATGATTGAAGCAGCCAACTATTTATTCACCAAGTAGGTCTAATAAATTACTTTTTATGGAAAAAGCAAAGCTGTTTTACTGCTAGCAGTGTCCTACACCGATTATTCTGAATTTTAGGAAAGATTTTAGAGGGGCAATCCACCAAGTTTAGATAAAAAAGCTGATGAATGATCATGAAGAGTACATTGCTATTCAGCCTGTGAGAGCAGTTGGATATTGTCGTGTGAAAAGTTTTTTAAGGATAACAATCCTGGCTATATCTTCAAAGTTATCTGGGCTTGGACTTGAGGATTGAGATTCTTAACAGTGAGCCTGTGTTACAAATTGGGTATATGTAGTTTGCAAGAGACAAGCAGGCTGTCTTCGTTGCATCAGTTTTGATTTCTTTTTCAAATCTATGTCTAAGGTAGAGTCCTCACTTGCTGTTCCAAGTTCAGCAGCAGACAGAAATCTGTTACACTCCCCCACCTTTTACACATACCCACAACAAACAACAACAAATCTCAGAGAATAATTAGTTCATCCAGTCCTGAGCTTCTTACCAGCAATAGATCATTTTTTACACGCTACCTTTGATTTTGCCCAAGAGTCAGAGAGGCAGGCACAGCATGACCAATTACACGAGCGCTCTGCTGTTTGATGCTCATTAGGTTGTGCGTGCAGCTTGAAGGTTCTCTCTGTGTGTGTCGGCACCTGTTGTCAATACAGTACTAGCTTTTTCAGTTTGGTGATCAGGTGTAACTTTATGTGAGCAAGAGGTGGAGGGAGGTTGGCGGCTAACTACAGCTTGAATCAAGGATTGACTTTGAGTAAATCACAGCGAGGGAGCTGTGATCTGTGTTTTAGGTCAAGTCCTAGGTCAGTTTGATGTGGGAGCGCAGCAAGGATCAGTCAGAGAAGATGTGACTGTAACAACTATTGCCTCAACATTCAAATTGAAACATGCTCATTGAAATGAAACATTGCAAACTTTTCAGCCTAATATAATCAAGTTTCACAAGGATGTCAGTGCTTAATTATAAAAGACGATATACATTTCTTTCCAGTGGATTGTTTAATGTCACCTGTCAGTAAAATGTGTCACTTATTATTAGTATCACTGTGGCACAGAAGTCACAGCGCCTATAGCCTCTTTCTTCCAACCAGAAAACAATTTCTACGGAGATAATTATTTTTACTTCCTTTTCCACAAATGTGTAAAAATATGACAGATTTAGTTTGAGACATACATCAGCTTGTTATAAGATTAATCAATTCAGGTCTCTTTTGGGATGCAAACTGCAAAACAACCAGAGCATCAAAACCAACTTTATATGTAGCAATTGTTACAAGGCCATCATGTAAAAATAAAGATAACTACGAATGTTATTGATGTTTGGCAGGAGGAGGATCGATCCAGGTTTGCTACTGGTCAGCTGCTTATCCCCATAAAGATGAAAATAGGCTTTTTGTCTCTGTAGAAAATTTGCACCATGGCAACAATGTTACATTTCTATGGAAACAGATTGAATTTGTTTATGTTTTGGGTGCCATTACTGTAGCTGGCGCGCATGTGTGTGTGTGTGTGTGTCTGTGTGTGTGCTTGCACAATGAACAACATGTACTGCAGTTCCTGTCATATAATATGCTCAAAGTTACACTTTTTGTCAGCTGCACACACTTATCATGCTGCAAGAAAGGTACAAATTGCAGGATTCACTTGCTATGTTGTCAAAAA